ATATTGGAAGGGGTTTATGATTTTCCATTATACTGTTACATTTTTTATATCAAACTGGAAGACTATAAAATAATAATTATTTAATCAATTTATCATAAAAGTAATTTATTTAAATTTTTATTTAATTAATAATATAAATTGGACACTTAAAACATTAGTTATATTTATTAAAATATTAATTTACAAATATTATATAAATATTATGGTTATGTAAACATACACATATACATACCGTATTTCTGGAGATACACAATATTTTAAGAATTGATAATTATCCATAGAATAGAAACGAAAAAGTGTATTGTTATTTATAGTTGATAACCTGATTTTCCAAATTAAATAAATAAATTGTTCATATACAAATTATAGATTTTCATATATTAAATTAAATTTTTAAATTCTATTAAATATTTTTCTATTTTTAAATAAATTTTTTCTGATTATAGTAACCAGTTTTCCAAGATTTTTGACATTTTCCAGGGAGGGTACATGTCCCTCCCTTGACCCCCCCCCCATATGGGCGCCCTTGAATCACAGCCAAGTTAGTTAAAAACCAATTATTTTCAATAAATTTTTGTTTTATTATGATTTATGAATTTTGATTGACACAATCGAGTTATACCTTTAGCCAGATAAAAAAAACATTAAGTATTTTTAAATACGAATGAATATATTTCGGTATAATAATAAATAAATATAATTATATTGTATTTTCACATTATTCCCACTTAAAGAGTCTGAAAAATAAAAGTTATTATTGAAATCAGTGGCGTATTTTCAATTTTTTCTGGGGGGATCCACAGTTTATACATAATTAATATAAACTATATATTATATTGTAACTATAGTTACGTCCTTATGCAGTTTTTGGAGAAGATTGAACTAAATATATGATTTAATAATTATATAGTCTTATATAATATTATATATATATATATACCTATATATTGTATTTATATATTATAAGGTATTGTTATAACGTCAGACGGATGGGTTATATTTGACGTTTACAAAGTATTAAATTCCATACTGCGGGGACTGCGTCTAGCGTTTTTATCTTTTCCGTTAAAATAATAATAATTATAATAACTTGGAACTTGATGCGTTCTAATTATTTCGTTAGTTTATATTTTAAAACATTATGACTCCATCTGTTCCTAGCGAAATATCTACACGTGTGAAAAATATAGAATCTATATTCATACGAGCTACCTATCTCCTTCCTATCGGATAATAAATGTTGTTATACTTTTAGTAAATTCAATTGTACCTTGGTAGTAGCAAACGGCTATTATATAGACTTGTATTTGATTTATAATGCCGATTTGCACAGCAATTCATAGTTTCGTCGCTAACTATTACCTACGACGTTTGCTCGTTTTCTGTTATAACACATCGTGTCGTTTTCTGCAGAGTTATTGCGTGGTATTGTTTCCGATCGTCCTCACCGTCCTTGCCTCGAGCGAAGACGTGTGCACTTTGTTTTAAATGAAAAACGGGTGCGACACATACATTGTTATATAAATATTATACGGTTTTATCGTGTATCATACTAGTATACTACTGTATATATCGTGCTAATTATAAACCTTCCCGAATATGGAATCGTTTTCTGCTCATGACATCAGCCGTCTCGGTTTACTGCTAGTTTTTGTGTCGATGTAATTTATTCGTTTATGTATATACTTTGTGTGTATATCTATAAATGTATAAATCAATTTCCCCCAAGTATGTAAGAGAAATAATTGAATACTTGAGAACGGCTTGACCGATTTAACTGATTTTTTTGTTTGTTGTATTCATTATTGTTTGAACAAGGTTTGCATGAAAGATCATTTTTAGAAAGATTACTGAATAATACGAATATTTGTTATTATAATATAATGTGTGACTAGTTAGGTGGTTAGTGTTCGATGGACTCAGAAACAACTTGATTGATTTTGATGAAATTCGGTATAGAAATAGATTATACCTTAAAGAAGGTTGTAAGCTAACTTTTGTCACGAAAAAAGGAAAGAGAAGTATTAGAACTCCTTATAAAAGTAACCGTTCTTAAGTTATTCTTTTACATACATGGTGCAATTAATTTAAATACATATATATTCTGTAGATTTGTTTTTTTTTTAAAAAAAAAAAAACCTGTTTAAAATATTTTTGTTGGACGAACGAGATACTCCGTAAAAATCGTATGGAAATTTATTTATACACTTATCTGTGTCATGCGCATGCTGGAGAAACGTTTCCCCAGCACTTCCAATGACCAATTATTACAAGTATCTTATCAACATTTAATTTTTACAATATTATGAACATTATTTTGTACATCCAAAATACGATTTTGTCATGCGCATTCTGGGGAAACGTTTTCCCAGCACTCTCTTCGCAAAAAATTGAACAAATTCAATTTTCAATGACACAGTACCGGTATTATGTACTTTTTTTATACAATTTGGTGCAACCTAAGTAAAATTTTGAACACCTCCAAACCACGAGAAAATCTAATTTTGCTATGTGCATGCTGAAGAAACGTTCCTCTAGAACTACCAATAACCAATTATTATCTTATCAAAATTCAATTTATATAGTATTGTGTACATTATTTTGTACTATTTTATACAACCAAAATAAAATTTTGTACAACCCGCTCAACACGAGAAACCCCGATTTTGTCATGTATGCATACTATACGCATATATATATATATGGTTACTGTAGTAACCATCTTATACTTCTAGCCTTTCGTTCATCCCAGTCAGTTGCTCGCGCCTTCCTCTCAATCTGTTCTTCCTCTTAGCTCCTCCACAATTCTTCACTACATCTTTCCATATCATTCTTAGTCTTTCAATGGATCTTTTTCCTGTTGGGTTCTTTTTTAGTATTATACGGAGTAATAGGTTTTGTTTTATCCAAGCGTGTCCTGCCCATTGTAGTCTTATTAAGATTAAAGTTTAAATTATATTTATAATAAGATGTTAAATTAAATATAATTTATATTTTTTTTTGAATTGTATAAACTACAATTGAATAGAACTGATTAATTAATTAACTAGAATTGTATAACACTATAAAATAGCGTGCAAATATACTATAATACACGTTTATATGTATTGTAAAATAAATAATAAATATACATTAATCAAATTATTATTTTATTAAAAAATAATAAAACTATGCGTAATTGATGCCATTAATGTCTTGGGTTCGTGATTTATTTCACAGCATTGTAGAAAATATGAATGCGCATGTGCACTTAAAATAACCAAAATATGTAAGTGAAATTTTTAAAACAATTAAATTTTTTTTTAAAAAAAATTATTCTATAAGTATAAAACTATAATATTACTCTGTATGATTGAGTTAATTCTTTTCGTCTTCTCCTCTTATATTGAAAACAAAATTTTGTATTACAAAAAAAGTAAAAATAATGTTAACCTTAAGAATAATTTTATTTCATATAAATTTAAAAAATGCCCAAAAAATCTCCAGGTTATGACTTGGGTAATAACTAACAGGATGCTAAAATATCTCCCTGAAAAAAAACAAATTATATTGCTAACTTTTATATTGAATTCAATGTTAAGGTTATCGTATTTCCCTGTCATTTGGAAACTGTCCATTATAATTCTCATACTCAAATTAGATAAACTTTATAATTTAGGAACATCATATAGACCCATTAGTCTACTTCCTGTGCTCGGGAAGTTACTCAAAAAAATGATTATGAAGAGGTTAAGACCAATCATTGAAATCTAAAAAGTAATACCCAACGCTCAATTTGGGTTTCGTTCGAACTATTCCACTAATAATACTCATAATTTAATGTGGTCTTCAAACTGGAAAAACAAAATTAACGCCGACAAATCAGTTCATGTTCCTTTCACTCATAACAAAAAATTCTTCCTATTCACTTTTCCAAAGAGCTCCTTTTATTTATTTATTCATTTAGAAGTAAAACATATTTAATATTATTTAATTTTTTATTCATTTAATATTAATTAATTATAGTTTTTATCACATTTGATAATTTATTATTACAACAAATATAACTTCTAACTTTACTTCATCTTTAAAAAATATTGGCATAGAGGCTCAGTTTATTGTTAGTAAATGACTTACCTGACAATTATGATTAATGATACAACAATCAAATAAACCATTTACAGGAACTTGGTTTGAAGAAAGGTTCAATTATATATTTTAAATTGATGTCACATATATGAGTAAGAAAAATAATATAGACTAGAATATTATAAAATAATTAAACAAATTAATCTTCACTATAAATATATTTAAAAATCAAACTAATAATAATACAAAGAATTTAAGTCTTTAAAATTAATTAACCTGTGATAATATTAAGGTTTTAAAAGGTTTCATAAAAAAATCTACGAAATATTTAATGTTTTTGATTTGTTTAAAATTTACTATTTTTACAAATGTTCACACAGAGATTAAAATGCATTACTGTAAACCATTAGTTATTTTATTTACTAAAATATTAATTTTAAATATTAAATTTATTGATCACTTTACTAAAATCAAGTCAGTTTATAGGGAAAATATTTAATTATTTCAGAAAAAATACAATTTATGGTCAACATTAACATATTTGATCACATACTATTAGCAAATTATTGAATAAAACTACATATTAATATAAATAAAAAAGAATTTATTATAAATTATAATTTTAACCCAATTATACAAAAATGTATTTAAATAAATCCATAACTAAATAAATTGTAACATAAATAATAAATATTTATGATTAAAATTTATTTTTTTGACTCATTTAAATGTACATATTCCTAGTAGTTTTGGTTCTGTTATACATTATAAGTAGCTGTAATTTAAAAAACAAATTAAATATTACAAAAAAAAAAAAAAAAAGAAGTGCATGAAGTACAAATTAAATTGTATTTGTAACTCTTAATTTAATAGCTAATAAATATTACTATTATAATTTACAAATTTGGTTTATAAAGATTAAGAAAAAAATAATAATTATCATTTTATGACTGGATAATAAATTTAAGTGTAAAATTAACATTAATAAATTAGTTTAATGATTTTAACAGTTGATTGATTTTTTCTTGGCATTCATCTTTTTTTCGCTTAAGACCATTATCTAAGTCAACAAACTGATTTCTTCCAACTTTACCTGTTATAAGTTTATCAGTATATAAAGACTGAGTCTGTCCAAAAAGTTCTTTTAAATTTTTTTCAATCTTTTGAATCTCATTTAATTTTTCTGTTAGTTCTACTGATTCTGTTTTCAACTTGGTAGCTAATTCATTAATGCTAGTTGATTCATTTTTATAATCCGCTTGAATTTGTTTAACAGCAGTATTATATGCACCAATATCTTTAGAATGTTTTAATTTATTTAAGGATTCATCCCAAGAGCTAAATATAGAAGATCTACGGTCAATGTGATGCATAATTGCACTCATTATTCCAGATATGCGCTGACGTGTCTCACTGTGTCCATCCTTGGCTATTGAAAAATCCAAACGAACCCATATAATAACAGTCAAAAATAGAATGTAAATAGCAACAATAACAATTAATGGTTCATGAAACATGAATGCTTTTGGAAATTTGTATTTTAATTCAAAATCACTGATGTGACTTTCTACAACATTAGACATTTTTAATTGTATCATTGGTCTACCTATTGTATCTAAATATGTAAAATGTAAATCATCAGGTAAACGTACAATTGCATTATTTGTTTTAAGATCCAAATCTACTGATCCTTCAGGAAGTATAATGCGTACTGTCATATCTTCAATTATCATGTTATCATATAAATGATCAATTAGTCGCATTTTTAGTAGATAATCTTCTCCACTATTGAATAGATATTCATAAGCAGGTACATTATAACCAATTGTATAATGTGTTTTCCAGCCTCCAAATAGAGGGAATCTTGGTCGAATATCTAATTCAACAGAATCTAAAAGAGTTCTTTGATTTGATGTAGATATATTACCAATGACATCTCTATAGTAAACACTTGTTGCTGAAGCAGGAAGATACATTTTAAATGATTTAACACTTGATAATCCACTATTAGTTTCACGTTGATAATCATAACGAGAGAATGATCCTTTCAATTTAGCACCATGATGAATGAGATCAATTACTTCAGTAACAGCTACATTTCCCCAGTGCGATAATTCAATGGTTCTGGTCAATTTTGTAACTTTTAAAAATGGAGAGTTATTATCATAATGTATACTTATTTGGGAATATGCAAATGGTTCTAATGAACCATAAGGACCATATATAATATCTCCAGAGCTTAATGATACTGGGTTGAAATTAGTGTAATCTTCTATCCGTCTGGTTCCGGTTTGAAATTTTACAGAAGATTTAAGACTATTATATGGAGAATAAAAATAAGCATTACCATAAAACATCATTAGCTGTCTATCTTTTTGAGTTATTTCTTCAGGGTGGGGATATAACGCATTAGTCAATATATACTCAACTACTAATGGTATACGACTTTTTGATTTTAATGGCCGTGATGCATTAAAATCAATTTGATAAAATTGTTTATCTTCATGTCCTGGTTGTATTACTGGTTTAACATTCAAACTTAAACGATTAGATTCAAATACTTGGTGAACAGAAACAAACGAAACATGACTTTTAATTGAAGGTTCAAATGCATACAAAACATAATTCACAGGCTTATCATCATTGTTTTCCAAAGATATACGGCATTCTCCTTTCACTAATTGAGTGCTTAAATCAACCAAGCATTCAACATTGTTTATAAATATTTTAGGGTTGACTTCAACTGAATAAGTAGTAGAAATAAAAATAGCCACCAAGAACAAGTGGAGAGAGATCATTTTGTTTTACGAACCTGAGACCAAATTATCCACAGTTGAAAAATCTTGTTTTTGTTATTATATTGAATTTTTAATACCTGAAACATCAAAACAAAGGAACCATATGGTAAAACTGGTACATACTTTTATTATTACATATTCTATACTATAATTTATTTTAACATGGTTTTTAATTTTTTTGTGTTGCTTCATGTTTCTGTGTTTTGTCTTTTATTGTATACTTGGCAAATGTTTTTAATGGATCAAATGGTTCCCATCGACTAGCAGGAAAAATATGTTTATTTCTTTCATACCAACTTCTTAACAATACTTTGCCTGCATGTGAATCTTCTTTTTCTAAACTTGCATCACTAACCATTCGAATATCATCATGTACACCAAAGGTAAATAATGGACCACTTTTACCTCTTGCTTTAGCAACAATGAAATCATAAAATGAATAATGATGAGGAAGTATTAAATCTTCTTTCACATACATTAATTGATCAGCCATAATAGTTTTAAGTTCTCCGAATTCTCGACGTAGCTGCTCTAAAACTTTTTGTAAAAATTGATAAATTGTATTACCCTTTTTCATAACAATTGTACGCCTATGACCTGAACCATCCCAATAACTGAATGTTATACTGATTTCTTCTTCTTTTAAGCATTTTTGTTTATCAGTCCACTCTTGTCGCAACGTCTCACGTAAAAAGTTTTCTTCAGATTCTCGGGCTCGATCCGGTAAAAAACTAGTATCAACATCAGGATTTTTTTTAATTTTTTTTGGTAATGGCTGTAAAATTGTTTCTTCTTCTTCTTCTTCTTCAGCTTTATCTTCATTTGTCTCTTCTCCTTCACTATTTTCTACCATATCCTCAATAAATGATAATGCTTTAATTTTTTGTTGTTGTCGCCTTTTTTCTTCTAGTTTTGCCTCTAATTGTCTTTGCTTTTCAAACTCAACTTCTTTCTCTTTTTGTACTAATCTTTTAGCTCTTTCTTGGACGATTGTCTCTTGTTTAGCTTTCATTTCATCTAGGGTTACTAATCCAATAGTAGAGCTTTTAAGTTGAGCTTCTACTGCATCATAATGTTTGGCAAACTTATTTTCAATATTTGACAATTTCATTTCTTCTTCGATTTTTTTCTTGCGTAACTCAATTTCGGCTTGAGCAAGTTCGCGCTTTTTCATTAATTGCATTGCGCGACCCGCCTCGCTAGCAGCTCCCTTGTAATGTGCCATTATGATTTTCTTATTTTTATATGTAATATGAACAGCTCAACCACAAAATTATAACCATATACACTCTAATATTAGTGAATTTAATTAAAATATAATTACTTACATGAAAATCGTGTATTTTTTGAAACCAATTGTTAAACTTCTAAACAATCCAAACATTATTTAAACAGAGGAAATTAAACACACAAGTCAAAATTCAATTCCACACACCACAGAACGCCGAAAACGTCATTAAATTTGATGTTATTAACGTTAACATTTACCACCGTGTTGGTTTACCGGTATTGAAGTTAGAAACACGCACGTTGGTAGTAGTGGTAAGGTATAACCTGTTATAGTGCACTAGTAGTGGGTATATGAAAATAATTCAATATTTTAAGAACCAATTTTATATTACGTAACATTGTTGTTTTGGTTGTATGTATAAAATTTGTTATGTTTATCTGTATAGGTAGTCAAAAATATTCTTAAGTCAATGATTTATTTAATAGTTTTATTGTAATTTGTATATTATTGTAATTACATATTTATTGTATTTAAACTGTATAATGGCTACATTATTTGGTGTATCTTTAAATCCTTTTTCAACGCCTGTTGGTGAAAAAATTGGTAAGTTTTATTTTTTTTCATACGTTTACCATATTGATAAATTTTAATTATTTATTTTTTAAAGTGGTTCATTTTACGTACACCATATTTTTTACACGAAATGAGTAAACATGTTATTCGGTGGCATATGTAATGTTAGGATGAGTTTTCTGTAACTTGATTATTTTATAATAATATAAATGTTCAATAATGATCATTTACTGTTTTTAATAGTATTTATCTTATTATTAACAGTATACAATAATAAATACTGTATAAATTATAAACAAATGGCTTTCTTTCATACTTTTTATACTTTATTATGTTAAATTTAATTTTCAAATTATTGGCTTATATTTTTTTTTGTTATTAATTGCTAAAAAATATAATTATAATATAAAAAAAATACTTCTTATTCAATCAAATATTTATTTTTGACAAATTGCCACCCATTATACATTTTAAATTAATAAAAACAGTGTTTGACCTACCAAATAATTTCAAATATATATTGGATTTTGAAAAATTGAGTAAATTTGATTACTATGAAAACTGTTAAGCATTAATATCCAACATATCATCTTTAATGATATTTTAGACTATTTTATTACAGATATATCTACAATATACAATGTGTAAGACTACTCTGTATGTCTGCTGTTAAATTAATTTAATGTCTATGCACTGAGCTACTTAGTTTTTATTTAACAAATAGCTGTTTCAGATTTATTATAATAAACAAGCAGCAAACCCTTTAGATGCCATAATATTAAATTTGCATGTCAAAATTGATATTCCCATAATGAAACTTTCATTAGGTTGTAAGGATTATTATTTTTACTATCATATTTTGCTGTCTTATATTAATAGATATCTTAGTGCCTTCAATTATTATCTAGTTTGAAAAATTCATTAGCTTAGTTATAACAATTTTAATATTATTTTAAATTATTTGAAAACATTATTATTATACATACACAGAATTTATTATTATTATTATTTCTAATTTAAATTTAATTAAACTACTACTTTGTTACAAAAGAATTAGCAACTGATGGAGGGTTAGCTTCTGAAAATTGGTCTCTCAATATGGAAATTTGTGACATGATCAATGATACCGAAGAAGGTCCTAAAGACGCAGTTAAAGCAATTCGTAAAAGATTACTACAAAATGCAGGCAAAAATCATAAAATAATTATGTATACTTTAACAGTAAGTATGAATAATAATATTATAATTAGTATTATAGTAATTATAATTTAATACTTTTAGTAAGAAAATTTACAATTTTATATTAATTCTAGGTTTTAGAGACATGTGTGAAAAATTGTGGTAAAAGATTTCATATATTGGTGTGTAATAAGGAATTTTCTCAAGAACTAATAAAATTAATTGGTAAGTATGCCTATTTAATTACCGAAACACTTTATTTTTATTTATGTATATAATTTTAGGTCCAAAAAATGATCCACCAACCATTGTACAAGAAAAAGTATTAAGTCTTATTCAAAGTTGGGCAGATGCTTTCCGTAATCAACCTGATCTTCAAGGAGTTTACCAAGTATATAGAGAACTTCTCCAAAAAGGAATTGAATTTCCTATGACCAATCTAGATACAATGGCCCCTATACATACACCAAATAAAGTAAGATTTTCGTTATAGAATACCATATTATTTTTTTAACTTATATTATTTTTTAGAGTTATTTTGAAGAACTCAAACCAGTAGATTGTGCCCAGGCTAATGATCAGAAAAATAATCAATTACTTGGTTCAGAACAACTTTATAAACTCAATGCTGATTTGGAATTAGTCCGTGGTAATATGACTGTATTAAATGAAATGCTCTCAGAACTAGTACCTGGAAAAGAAGATGCATCTGATGTTCAACTTTTAACTGTAAGTAATCGGTTATTTAATATCAATTACCAACATAAATTATATGATTTTAATAAATAAATATTTATTTTCGTGGTATCAATAAATTATACATATACATACATTATATACATAATATATATATTATATAAATTATTAAATGACAAAATTAAGATAATTTTCATGTTGTATTTATTTAATTTTATTGTTAAAAAAATATGATTTACTTTAAGGATTTATATACAACATGTAAAGCAATGCAAGAAAGAATTGTTGAACTTCTTGCAAAATTACCTGATGGAGAATTCACTGAACAGTTGTTGCTAGTGAATGATGATTTAAATAATCTTTTTCTTCGGTTAGTCATTATATTATTCAATACTTTATAAACAGTAAATATATATTCAAGTATATTGTAGATATAGCCGATATGAAAAGAATAGAGAAGCTGGATGTAACAATACTATAGTTGATGGTCCATCTTCAAAAAATACTGATTTACTTCAAGGTTTTATTGATGAACCAATTGCTACAACTTCAAACCAATTTTCAAAACTAAGTAACTATACTGATTATTTACTTATAATTATTTATAAATCAATTGGTACATGTACTAGAGAATATTTCAATCATTAATTTTACAGAAAGCTATTTACATTTTTTGAGATATAAGTTTTGTTCTTTCTACTTTCTTATTATTTCTTATAGTCTTCAATTAATTCATGATAATTAAATAAATATAAAAAATATATATTAAAAAGTAAATTAATGAAACTTCTATTATATGCTTCCACATTTCATAAAATATTATAATTAATTCACTTTGTACAATTGTTATAACATTTATTTTAGCTCTTAATAATGAAAAACTTAAACAAAATCCACCTGCAGATTTGCTAACAAGTATTCAGTCTGATGATTTTGATATGTTTGCTCAATCTCGATCAGTTTCATATGAAAACACAAAAATTGGGTAATAATAACATTTTGTATAAAAATGATTTTGTCATTTTCTTTGAAAATAAGATTTACATAGTGTGAAATATTTAGAGGAAGTAGTTATGATGCCAATTTAAAGCCAGATCAAGTAAACAGTTTAGCTTCTTTAACTCAAGCTCGATCTCAAAATGTGACTACAAAAGATGTAAGTACTGTTTGCAATTTACTTAATGTTAAATATTTTTATACTATTTTTAAAAATATGAATAAATAAATATATATATATATATAATATTTATAATTTAAATCACGTTTTATAAAGCAATTATTATTATGTTTGTAACACTTGTGTGTATATTGTATGGGTTCTGACCTTAGGATTGTGCTCACGAAGATGTCATCAGGGTAAGAGTATGTTTTTTACAAAATGAAATATGCCCTGATAATATTTTTAACATTACTAGCTTGATGCACATCAGTAATTATATTTAATAAAAAGTTATGAATTATTATTTATTATTTAACTTACAGTACTGTAATACTTACAGTATTCATTTTAGTGCATGATTTTTTTACTATTTGTTTGATTTGCAATTTAATTCAAATTAACAACACTTATATTTTATAGTTGATATAATTTTTATTTTAAGATAGTTAATGATTTAAAACAAAAAACAAGATTTTATAGTTCATTAAATTAACTTAGTTATTTATTTAAAATCAAGAAATATTGTTTCTTAATATTTTTATGATGTAGGAATAGACAAAAATTAAATTATTATTTAAAATCTAAACTAGCCATGACGTTTATTTTGATTATTCATTATTGTTATGAATACATTTCAATATAAGGTTTCAAATCTTAGTGATATATTACACTAAAAATTTAGAAGACATCAAATAATTCAGGATTTTGTAATTATCTGTTAATACGTTAAATTATAAAATTGATCAATCATATTGTTAATTATTGCTACCCTGAATCAAAAAACTTAATTTCTTTATTATTTAATAATTACCCAAAACTTGCTTTATATGAGTGTGTTTATATATAAAAACAATTTAAAAATGTAATTTTAATTTATAGTGTTACTATTTTTGATAATTCTTATTATGTGTGGGTTAATAGTTATCAAATTATAACTATTTATTAAACTCTTAATAGATTTATAAAGTTTTGTAAATTCAGTCCATTTCATGTTTGATATTTGATATTGTGATGTTTTTAAACTAAAAATGTATTAGGTACAGTTTCACTTGTAATCATTATAAATTTGTATGAAATAACCAAAAATTGCTTAATTTTTGTAAACCACTATAATATTTTATTAGTTATAACCTGTGGCTTAACTCAATGCTACTATTTTTTTATTTTATTTTTTTTTAATCAAAACATTTTATTCAGCCAATTTTGTTATTTTTATTTTAAGTTTTGAATGTCACAATAATGATTATTTTTACCAACATTGATCTTTTATTTTTATTTTTTTTTTAATTTAAGTTTTAAGAAAATATTTCTTGATAAAACCATAATTGAATGTTTGAGTTACAATTATAAGATATATTATATCTGTAAACATAATACATAAATAAACATAAATATTACACAAATAATTCCTTAATTATTATCACAATATTTTCATATAGAAATTAATATGTTTAAGTTTAATAAATAAGGTTTTTTAAATTGACCACTTAATAATTATAGTTTACAGTTTACTTATTATATTTTTAATTATATATGCTCGGTTTTAACTTTTATTACATATATTCTATAATAATAACTAGGGAACAGATTTATATGTAAATTTATATTTTTATTAAAACGAGATATTTAAAATTCGATAAGAAATGTTCATGATTTAAATCATTCCTATTAATATGTCACTACTTTTATTTTAAATATTTTGACATATTTTGGTATAATTACGTATTTTTACATATTTCACTAATTTGTAAATATTTTTAAACATATTTTATCATTTCACGTCTTCTTCTAACAAAAATACAAAAAATTATTTCAAATTTAGATCCAGTAACTTCTATTGCTATTAGAAAAGCTCAAAATATTATGCAAAATGAAACATTGAAAACTAATTTAATTTTCATCTCAGTGAATTTTAGTTAAATTTCACATACATTTACAAAATTAGAAAAAATATATGTCCTTAAATGAAAGTATGCAAATTGTCGAATCAACGATTGAAAAATGAAAACTCGTTAGCGGACCAATAGATGTTGTAAAAAAGAAAATTTATTATGCTGTTACAAAAAAAAATTCTAGGCTATATTGATTTTAAATCAACCAATGACTTAATGAGTGGCAGACATCTTTCTAAAAATTTGGAAAAATTTTGTCTTCTGATATTATGTGCTTCAAATATGCTTCAATCAACCGATGTAGGTTGATGTGGAACGATCATTTAGCCATTTTAAAAATATTTTCAGATCTAATAGGCAACATTTAATATTTGATAATTTAAAAGATATTGTAATAATTCAATGCAACAAATTATTTTGATAATTTAATAATTATTATTATTTTTTTTTTTTTTAATTAAATTTTTTTCTTATATATTTGGATGTTTTTAGCACATATTTTATAAATTATACTTACATATATATGTACATATTTCTGTATTTTTATTACATATAAATCCGTTCCCTAATAATAACATTATATATATATGTTTATTCGTGTAGAATGTACTTTGTTTTTATTTAACTATATCATTTAAATATTGCTACTTTATTATTCATAATCGGTAAATTTCTAACCATTTATTTTTTTATTTGAATTGATAATTATTTCAAATTATTTTTTAATTTTAGATGCATAGTGAACAAGATTTTGATGAAATAGCAGCATGGCTTAGTGAAAATGTGAGTAAAAATTATCTACATAAATAATGCAAATAAATATTCTATAATATATCTTTTTTTAATACTTTACTTTTTTACTCATTCGCTGATGATAATGGCAATTGGAATTTTATGAGTTACTATATATAAAAATGCTAATTGATAGCAAGTCCAAACTGATTCTCATTGTATTCAGTTGTTTAGTTTTTTAATATTTATTAAATTTACTCGCTATTATTATAAGAACTATTACAGTATGTGTGCGAATCAAAATAACTAAAAACAAAAATTCAAATCTAAATATTTTTAATTTTTTTAGTCAGCTCATAGTACTACAGCATTATATTCTTCAAAATAATAGTTGATAGTGTGCATGTAAATTTGGGTAAAATAGTATAAACACAAATAAAATTAAGTTTTTAATTCATGTAATAAATATTCTTAATTCATTTCTATGTACTATTAATATAAAATGTTTATTAATATTATTTTAAATCTATAGCCAGGAAGTTCAATCAGAACAGGGGGTGAAATCGAAGAATCTTTATCTAGCAGCGAGTTTGAAAGATTCTTAGCAGAAAGAGCAGCAGCTGCTGAAAATTTACCCGCAGGAAACAATGAAAATGAACCAAAGCATAACAAGGAAAAACAAAGTGATACCATGTTTGCTTTATAAGGAAATATTTGAATTTTAAATTATTTTAACTATTATAGTCATTGAATAATGAATATTAATCATTAAAACTATATAATAATGATATACAAATTTCTTCAAGTATGTTCTAAAAGAAAAATATGTTTTTTTTTTAATCTTTATCCACATTTATGTTTACTTTTTTATCATAGTCTATCAACTAATTATTGATAAATAATCATCATTTAATATTGTTCCAGGTGAACCATTAAATTTTTATTTATTTCTACTAGAAGTAAATACTAATTATAATTATAATATAAATAAAATTAATTTAATATTATTAAATTTGTTTTATCAAAAAAATCCTCCATATAAATCAAAAAAATAAAAAAAGATTAATAATAGAAATTATTGTTAAACTATTTTATGATGTATGATTGTTTTATACAAATGTTATTAAATTGTTAAATATTTACTTTGAAAACAAATGTACTTTTCATTCCACTGTATTTTATAAGTTTTAAATAAGTTTTTTTTTTTTTTGTCATAGTGTAAACTTACCACTTTTTATTTTGTTCAATTTGATCTTAGCTTTATAAATAATTATTGCACTAAAATATTTCAATATTATATGTTTTGTCATTTGGGTGTGTGTATATCATTTGTTAGCATCTATAAATTTTTATTGAAACATCACTTTTATCATTTTATTATTTAATGTTTAAATATTATTTTTTTCTATTGTTATTTATTTAAAATTTTATTTATTGTTATTTTAATTTTATTATTTATATTTGAAGTTATAGTCACTTAGTACATTAAGTAATGTGTTGCACTTGATCACATTATTATGGGTAGTATTAACTTTTTTTTTTTTAATTTAACATAATTTTGGTATTAATAAAATTGATAAGTTAATGTTTTTAAATGGTATATACAGTAGTGTTTTCATGCAACAAGTTCTGAGAACTAGCTATTGGATTATAAAAATGATTATTTTGAATTTCACTATTAATTACAATAAATATCTATACTTTATTTAGATTTTTGCTCTTAGGCATCTGGTTGAACACTACTGAATATACGATTACCAATTTATCATTTGTGTGTTATTATTACTATTGAGATATTATTTTATTTTGTATTGCAAGTCAACTTGACTAAATATATTGTAGAGTCAGAATATTTATCATAATATGCCAAAGTAAATAAAGAAATCATTATTTTAATAACATTCATAATTAAAGTGCTAGTTATTGACTTGATAAATTTTAATAGCTATTAAATACAATTATCCAGTTAAAGTATTGAACATTTTTATTTGTAATTTAAAAATGTTGAAATGCAAAATATTTAAATTACTGAAAAAAGTTATAACTAATATAAATATTTTAAAAATATAATATAGGAGTTATAATTGTTAAACAATAATAAAATAGTTTTTTAAATCCTAAAAAAATTGAAAAAAAACCAAAAATATTTTTCACAATTACCCTGAGATTATAATCATATAATAATAATGTAAGCCTAGAACCTAGAATTTGAAGAATAGTTATATCTAAAATAAGTGTACAATTATAAATATAGTGTTTCTATTTTAACAATTTCCATTGTGCATTTCTATTAATGTTTTTCATCCATTATGAAAATGTAACTACCTATAAACAAAAAAATAAAATCGAGTTAGAAATTATGTGATGTATAATTCATTTATGTAATAATTTAAAGTAATAAGAACTTGGAAGTGAAATTTAAATGATAAATCATTATATTTGCTAGTATGGCTTTTATTATTAAGTCATTATCCAGTTCAAAAAATAATTTACATTCAAAATAACTAATCTTAATGCTAATTAAAATTTTCGTTATTTAAAAATTACAGATATATTTAAACGTGGCCCTTTTTAAGAATGATTTTAAACATGGTAAATATTATATTTACAGAATTTCAATTCTTGTATACGCCACTGGTTCTCATTATATTAAAAGTATATTACTCAATAATGTGATTATTTTGTCCCGGTTTCGCCTCATAAATTTATGGCAACCCTAGCATAGGTATATGCTGTACATATGCATGATACGAATCGCGGACATTTCGCCTCCGCCATTTTATTCCCGTCAAAAAGACGAGTCCACGGACGTTTCGTCCTCGTCTATTATTAAGATAAGACATTTGGTCCCCGGGAATTATATAGATTTATTTATACCTACCCAATCAAACATCCAAATATCTACTTTTTTATCGAGTCGTTATAAATGTGCAATGCATCTGCAGTGACTGCATTGTTAAAAAATAATAATGAAATTATAAATTTGCCAAGAAAAATCATTACAAAGACAAAATAAAACAACATTGTATTGAATTTAAATGTAGTAATGATAATGATATTTTATATTTTTTGAAAAAAATAAGTGATCTAATATAAATAATTGTATAAATGTATTTGGATTGTGATTTTGACTAATAATTTTATATTTTTGAAAAATACCTAATAGTGATTTTAATATAATAAAATTTATAATATTTATACAAATGTGATAGGAATAAATAATCATATATGTAATATTTATAATTTATGTTTACTTAATATTTAGTTATTTAAAATTCCAGGGGCCAAACGTCCTATTGGTATGTATAAATAAATCTATATAATTCCGGAGATTCAATGTCCTATCTTAATAAAAGACGGGAACGAAACGTTCGTGGACTTGTTTTTTTTTTACGGCGATAAAACGGCAGGGGCAAACGTCCGCGAACCGCATGATACACCCTTCTAACGAAATTCTTGGCGAAGCCTATGCTTATAACCATAAATTATAATTCCGGTCAGTCAAATAGGACCCTGGCTCTACTTGAAATTGACTAGCTCTACCACTAACTGGTCATTGGTTCGACAGAAACAAATTATAATTACTCATCGAAGAAACACGAAAATACATTCCTAATTAAGAATAATAGAGATACCTACCTACTAGGTACTATAATAACACTATGTAAAATCTAAATGTAATATCATTTTAGCAAGATATTGCTGGCCTCCCATTGTGCCTACCTAGTAAATTATCCTGCTATCGCTACCCGCGGTCAATGCAGATAAATTGCGATATTTTCAAGATTTGCAAAAATATACTTATAGTATGTAGATACATAAGCGGACATTTGGTTGAATATTTGGGGGGGGGGGGGCTATAATAATTCAATGAAAAATAAACCGCAGGGGCTTCGCCCCCACACTTCCTTTTCATGAACAAGTAAAACTTATTACTGTTAAAAATATAGATATTGTTTAAATTGTATTAAAAAAACACGAAATAATGTATATTTAAAAATAATTAATATTTTATTTTAATGACAAATATCTAGTTGTATCAGCAAAGATATTCAAAATATCATCGCTTTTTATATTTTTCAATATATCTTTTTCTATATATAGTAGGGGTCGGCAACTGGTGGACCGCTGTTCGAACCTGGACCGCGGAAGGCAATACTCTGGACCCTGACAACTTTTATTGTCATGCTTCTAATACTGTAATTTTTAATATAAATTAATTCTAATAACCAAATAATTATTTTTATTTTTATACTGCTATTTTTAAAATACAAAAATTTTTTTCACTGGACCTCATTCATTTATTATTTTAAACTTTTGGACTCCAATGTAAATTACTTGCCGACCCTTGATATATAGTAATGAAAGATCGCTGAACCTTAGCCAAGTTTTTATTTTTTTCATTGCACTGAAACTTCTTTTGCAAGTAGCCGAAATAATTGGTATTGTTAATGCTATTGTAAATAGTTTTTTATTATTTCTTATTTTACGATTTTCAAAAAAAAAAATCAACAGATAATTATAAAAACGAATAACATTTTTAACAAAGTTTCGATTTTGGGAGGGCTAAGCCACCCCAAGCCCCCTAATATCCGCTTATGAGTATGTATTATGATTTGCGATAGCCAGGACCGGCTCAGGCAAAAACAATGCGCCAGGCAAAATCAAATTTCGCCGCCTCTAAAAAAAAAAAAAATTTAATTTTTTTATTTTATGTATAAAATTATACGTAAAAAGACTTAATATAAAGTAATATCATAAACTTTAGACGATATTATTTTATTACAATACAGGTAAGTGGTTTTCGGGAACGAATGAATTTAAATATTTTTCTTATAAAACACCGACAGAACAAAATAATAAAAAAAAAAAAGATACGAGTCAATTCTAAAAATGCCACCGCTACCAAAGTGCCGCTCTCGGCAGGCGCCTAGCTCGCCTATACCTCGAGCAGGCTCTGGCGATAGCATTGTTGTTATGTTGTAGTTTACTTAAATAAAATTCCAAATGTATATTTAAAGTTCTTCAACATAATCTATAAACACCAGAATATATTTATCAGTGACGTTATAACTAAAATATATGGGGGGATGCTATATTTATTTTACCTTCTCCCAAAAAAATCCTTGATGTATCCTAGGAGTTATAAAACAACATTGCACCTAATAGGTATATAGATATTAATTTTTTTTTTTTTATTTACTTATTTTATTTTTTTAGCATTATAGACCATTTAGGCCCTTTGCTGCCAATATAAAATTCTTCCACTCCTCTCTATTATATTATACTAGCTGAATTACCCGTCGTTGCCGGGTTTAAGTATATAAATGTATGTAACCTGCCAAGATTAAATTTTGTTAAATCTATTGAAATTTTTGAAAACACCAAGTTTTATGGTAACAAATTTTGTATCTTGAGATTCAATTCGTTGACCTCCACATTTTTTGCTACTAAAATTTCTTTTTCTGCCAGCCACTCATGATTTGTGTATTGTCTGTGTACACTGGGACATATCTGGTCAATGAGAGCATCTTGCGAATAAATGATTGTGCAGAAATCGTTCGGTAATTTTATACATCCCGTTTCATCTGTAGTAACTTTCCCATCTCCAATATCTAACAATTGTTTTGAGAATCTTTTGCACGCAGCTTTTTTTGATTGAATCGAAATCGAAGTATCGAAATCGTTCGCTATCTATCTTTATATATATTTCGACCATGAATTGTTGACAAAGCTTATACATTGTAAAATAACTTAGTCCTGATCGC